TGAATGTATAATGATTGAAAGAACGAAATGCACCTCTACAATAAAATATCTCAACTGAACTCAACGTTGAATGCTATTCGAGTATCATCCATCAATTTTCTTCATTGTCATCTCATTGTCACATTCAACGTTCCTGTGCGCTAGGCACGTTTGGTGAGTAAATAAGTAAAGGAATAAATGAATACACTAAAAGTTTATGTTAACAAATCACGTTGGTACAGCTTAAGAAAGTGGGTATTTGCTGACAAACCTAAGTGAAATGTTCTCTCTAAAACTTTCACAAACGTATAAACGCAGGTACAATCAATTATTTTGATGAAGCCGAGCCAAATGCAATTATAAAATCTTCGAAAGTGCATGAGAAATTTGCTTCGAACAATTCCGTACTGTATGAAATGCCCAAGTTGATAAAAATTGATCTTTTATGGTTCAGAATTCCTAGAGCATAAAGTTAAGTTAAAAATTCGGAACATTAACATTCAAGCAAAATTGACAATATCCTATCGTAATTGGACTGCTGCAATTGAGGTACTTGAGGTGACTGACTGAGGCAATTTACCAACTCAAATGCACATCCAAAGAAAACAAATCATATCAAAACTTGAGAATATACGCCGTGTTGAGAGAATTTAATGTGATGCGCTTTGATAGAACAAAATCAAACGTAGATCGCTGCTGAGCAGAACACGAATTATTGAGACAGTGAAATTTGCGCACTGTATTGTCATATTACTAGCATTGAATTTTGAATGTGAAGATTCAAAATACTTACTTACTTACTTACTTACTAGTCACTGAGATGAAATAAGCAGTACTGGTCTTGAGATACTATCTCTTGACAACCTGTATTCGGCTGTGTTGCTCTCGCTTGTTATTCTACTTTCTCTCTATGCAGTAACCAACTACAGTCCAGTAATCCAACAGTAGCTAGTTGCTCAAGCTGTTGTTCCCCGATGACAACGAGTGTGAAGCTGACGAATGAGTGACGAGACTTACGATTAGTGTGCAAGAGCAGCTCAACGCAAACTCTTTATTGTTCTAGAACTAGCCGAAGAGATTTCTTGAATTGTGCACATACAAACAATTCAGTTTATTGAATGAACACTGGATGCTGCTCATTCGAATGTTTTGTTGAGTCGTTTGTTTACATTCCTTTTCACATTTGTTGTGGAAAAAATTGAATTGTGCAAATCGTGTCGTAAAGCATTGCATAGCTGTGTTAACTGAACACCTTCAAAAAGCTAAATGAATTGAGCAGACAAATTGAGCAGGCATAACTGATCACTGTTTTAGATAGCTGATCTACACAATAATCTGCGTGATATGCAAAGCACCTTAATTTGATTGGTAAGAGCGAAAGTGCTAAAATAACAACACGGAAACGAGAATTTTGTTCCTGCATTCCGAATTTTATTTGTCGGGAATTTTGCGTGAGAGTTCACTGAGAATTGATTTTGAATTTTTTGAGAATCAAAAATTTTCCATCTCATTTTGTGGAATTCTCAAAATCCCAGAATTTGTTTCACAAGGTTATGCTTGATAAGATTATGCTTGATTAGTATTTAATTTATGCATGTATACACTAAAAAATATACCTGACCAAAAAATATATATACAAAATATATAGCTCTAATTAAAAATAACTTAAGACACTGCTACTTTATCGCATAAAATTTCTCGAGTTTGAGTTCTCGATTTGTATTGACTGGTCAAATTTCAAGTTTATTTGTCCACTTGTATTGTTGGTATTCACACTTATCAGCGGCTTGTTTTGCTAGTTAATTTGTGAATTGATGGAATCGAACAAGCATATTAAGATATTTCGGTAGTCAGCTTTCATTATACACATTCGAATTTTTGTCCAATTTTGCTTGAGATGTTGAGTTTTCGGACACAAAAATACTGATGAATTATTTGACAAATCTGACTTTCGAAATTGACGAAATTGATATAGCTATTCGTAAAAATTTCGCAGTTTTTTTCGCATTGTTTCGCATTCAAAATTGTTTCGAAAAAATTTTTTACATATTCATGATCAGCTCGAGGAGCTCTACAATACGATGTATATCTCATCAGGAAACGTCAGATTAAGTTCGTGACCTTTCCTTGTAAGATGTAGTGCATTGCTAACAGAGAGCAATCAAAAATGAAATGCAAAATTTTATTATGAGATCATTTTCATCAGATGAAACTGGATGAATAAGCAAAGGAAAGAAAGGCACTTCAGGGAGAGCACATCTGATTCAGTTACGATCGATATGCTCATCCAGGTAAATGCGAAGTGGTGGTTAGTCGAAGAAGATCACAACCCGTATTCATTAGTGCTCGTTCAATATCACAGAGTCTTATGAAACCGTCACCATCTGCGTCAAGAATCTGAAAGCATTTCAAACATATATCAACAACTAATAACATATTTTTTGTTATTGTTACTTGGACATCGAGTGGTTGTTTTGTCAATCGCTGCGAGCAATCGGCGGAATATTTATTTTATTAAGGTTATGATTATTTGTTGGATTGATATTTGGCTACGATTAATTATGCAAAGTATTCACGGCAACTAATTAATTACTCGGTTGTGTTCGCTTGGCCTGCTCGCCTAGCCAGCGGGGTGGCGTAAACTGAGGCTAAAACAATATGCACGGAAACANTTTATCTACTTATTTACTCAGCTATCATTGTACGTTCCGTACATAAGCCTCTTCAAGATCACTCCAGTTATCACTATTATCACAGTTCATTATATCACTTATATGCTCAGGTTTATTTGGCACTAAAATGTTCTCAATATGAGGATTATGTGGGATATAAGGAGTAAGGATGAAGGCATTCATATAGATATATCAGGAAAGCGTTCTGGATCTCTTTGCATGATCAACTTTGCTCGCTGGCGTAGTACTTTCAATAAACCATCATATTCATCAGATTCTCTACTAACACAAAAATATGCCTGTTGCGACAGAAAATCAGTTTACAAAGAGTTCCACAGATCTAGTTAAATTTCCGAAGGCATGTCGAGCTGCTGTGCAACTCCGTTGTAACCTTACACAATGGATCTTGAATTGATCACAAGTGAAAATAATCACATTTCAGTGCGATACTAAAGGAATGCTCACCTTAAATTGTTGCAAGGCATAATTCCGAATTCCAGGAGATATTTTCGCACGTGTTTCGTCGCTGGGACTGAGTTGTTGTGACGAGGTATGCATTTGACTAATTGCATGCGCATTGCTAACATTTGATGAGGTAGTTGAGTTCAGATTGAAAACACATTGTACGTATTCGGTGAATGCTTGTAGACTGACCGCACCCTGTGCAGAGAATTCCAAATTGAGAATATACCGGATGCAATTGGAATTTAGTGTTGAAGATGAACTTTTTAAAAAGCCAATTCGAAATTATTACAATTCTGATATGGTATTGTCTGATATGGTATAAATATCACCTATATGCTCAGGTTCATTCGGCAGTAAAATTTTTCCAATGCGAGGATTATGTGGGATATAAGGAGTAAGTATATAAGGCAAATGTGGGATATATAAGGCAAAATTAGACATACGTTATGATCAGGTTTCATCAGGCGGAACACAAACTCGACAGTATTCGATGAGTATGATGCACTGCTCGACGATGGTGTGTCAGCCGGGAGATCACTGTACTGAGTGAGTTCATACAAACACATTATTAGATCCTTCAAGTAGTTACCCATTGTAGCATCATAAATTTTAATTCGTCTAACCGTTATGAAATTTCAGTTGGTCATGAGCTTCATTCGCTCAAATGCTTTCGTAGTGCACTACAAAGGTTCTGTTAAGCTTTAAGTTCAGGACAACATTAAGTTAATCTGAAATATCTCGTAGATCAGTTCAAATTAAACTGAAGATATAATATTTAGACCTGAGGAACGAGAGGATTCTCACGAATTGCACTTATTGACACGTATCGGAGCCACTTATCATGCTAGATCAACATAAGATACTGAAAGATCAACTTGCCTCAAAGGTAAGCGACCTGCGCACGTTGTCGCTAGCGACTGCAGCGAATAAACGATCGACAAACTCGTTATCGGAAGCGTTCGGAAAGATAATTCGGAATATTCGACGCCATTGAGTTTGACTCATACGGCCATTTGAACATCTCTTCAAGAATACTTCTTAAGTTATAGTCCTCGAAATAATCGCTTGTTACTGAACGTTATTCGATGATCGTATCAATAGCATTATTTAGAAATTGAATAAGAGCGATAAAGCAGACCTGTTTGAAATTTCGATAAATAAACATAATCCATTCCTTCTGGAAGCCAGTTACAGCCTGCAATTGCTCGAGTGACGGTGGCTGTGTGATGAACGGATTGGACAGAAGATCCTCCACATCCACCTCGATATCTTCAAAATCAGTATTCGAACGTTACAAGTTCTGAACGTAGGATCAGAATTTTGTGTGATGAGTTAAATTAGTAAACGATTCAATGGAGTGAACGGTTCTTGCTGTTAGAAATCAATAAGAAGTTGTTGTTTTTTTTAGGGGGGGGGGGATATTCGTAAAGAATATTTGATGCTCAAGTTGCCATGCAATAGAACTAGCTTGATAAACTTATAGGATAACATGAGCTAGGCAAATGAGTGCTGAACAATTGACATAGTAGAATCTTAAGAAATTCAAAATACGACTGAGACTAGCTTATGACTAGTATCAATATCACTGATGAGCAGTTCTAAAATACAGTTAAAGTCATAGTCACACACAAGTATATATCTAACCTAGAGCTGATTTCTTTGTTAGTTTTGGATTTCATTTCTTATTTCTTTCTTTTTTTGGAACAAGTTATATTTTTCGATGAACAACTGGAAGAGAACAATTCATAAAGAGATCATAAAACGGAGTCTCGAACCATCATCATAGAAGCATAACCAATATTGGAATCCTCGACAAGCCCAGTACAGAGATCGTAGGAAACGATTTGACCCCCATTTAGGTGCTGAACCAAATTGTCTGAAATACGAACAAATCACTTCTTCTCGACGAATCAAATGTTGAGGAAATGACAACATCGATCCAATGATCGATCACATGTGCATATTCCATAACTTCAAATTGAGTTCGTGCATTTGCAGATATCATTTTAAGGATCCTTTCATATGAAATCTCAGATTCGATATGAAACGGACCATTTTCAGTTAATATGAATTATTAGTGTACGAATAAACTAATGCTATGAGGAAATTTATCTTGATTCCGGTTGTCAACATGAATTGCATCAATATCTGAAATGATTTGCCATTATGAATGATTCAGTACTTGCGCGAAGATCTTTTTTATGTCCACTCAGCACTTCATAAAAAATTTCCAAATTTAGTGGTTTCCATCAGTACTGCAGCTATTATTCAAATTATCGACTGAGTTAGCGTCAAATGAAAATAAAATTTTTTGCTTCCATTTTGGTAACTTACAAAAATTTTGAAGAATATTTTCATATTGAGAAAATAATCAAGTATTGAATATGTTGAACTCGACTCTTTACAAAATTTGTCTTCATACTCATCTATTAGTGTTTTTAACTTGTTAGTGATATAATGTATATAATTTTGTGATGAAAATTACTTTCAGTCTTATGATCTCATAACCTCATAACTGCGATGAATAGCAATAAATTGAGTGGTGTTTCTCAGCTGACGAGAAAATGCTAACGAGTTTATTTTTCTGGAACACAAAAATAAAATCGGAAAATTTGAAAGAGAAGCCTTTCAAAAAATTCTCGCCCTTCAGAAGAGGAAATTGCCAATTTGCACAAATTATGATGTGTTTGTGTGGTTTTTTTCCGAAAAGTTTTCTTTGTAAATTCTCATTTCTCAAGAGAATTATCATTGCTTTCTGGTGTTTCTTCACTTTTATGATTTTAACGACTCATTTATCAATCTTTCCTATGGACCTTTCGTCATTTAGCACTCAAAAACTATTGCTAACCTCCAAAACCTTTGCAAAATAGAACACTTCTTTGCGCTCATAACAGCAAATCATAAGCTTTTCAACTTATAATTTGATTTGCCGGACTTCGTTAAATTCTTTGAAATCAATCATCAACTGCGCTCTTTCAGATGCTTCATTTGATTTAGGACCAATCATCCCGTACCTTCTTTCTATGCGGCTTCAGTTCAAAACCGATTCAAAAAATTTGCTTTTGAAAGAAAACCTTGAAAATCTCAAAACTGCCACTCTATAGTTCGTGATCATATGAATGCAATTTCAAGGATTTGAGTGTCAGACACCTTTCGTAAGTTACCAATTACCCTTTATACATAGCATAAGTGATGTTATTTTAAGTGGTTCCTTTCTAATATTTACCATTAGTCTTGTTAAAAACTTTAAATCTTCAACATTGACTGTGAAAAATTAGAATTTGGTTGAAAATATGAAATAATGAAAGCGATTGAAGTTTCAACGATACAACAGTTTTGGTTCCGAGAAATACGCAGCATTCCAAGTGTTAGTCATCCATAATATTTGATTCAGATAATAGGATTTGCATTTGGTGGTTGCAGCGGTTCACTGCTGATTAAGGTAGGGATCAAATGTGGTGAGTTTAACGGTACGATGGAATCGCTCATACGATACGAATTTAAAGATGCGAATTGATTGCTGGAATACAACTGTAAATTTTTTGCAGTCAGAGGGCTCATTGTCAGCATCTCCTCTGTTCGACAATGACAAAAATTTTCAAGTTGCGAAATGTGGCTGAGCGTATTGATGAATCAAATGTGGTACTCCCAATATTGCTGTGGATAGGAGATACCTTCACAAATACACATATATCTCTGAAACTAGGCCAACTCGACGGCTATTGCATGTGCAGTTCTTACGGATCAGGATATGCTCTATCTAGTGAAGTCAACAAAACAGATTGAAAATTATATGGGTGCTAATAAGATCTTACAAGTAGTAAAGTGTTCTGTTAAATATAGAAAATTCTTATTGTTAGGCATAAAATCACATGAAACCACTCCAGATATGTATTCAGAGGCGTTAATATCCATTTGTTTATGGATGAAATTTGCGTTCGTAATATCGTTCCCATGAATAAAGTGATCACTAAAACCATATTGTATATGTGAAGAGTGGAATTCGTGATAAATGTTGTTAGTGCTTAAAACTGAATAAATGATTCGCAAAAGTTTCTCTCGCACAAAAAACTCAACAAATAAATGAGGCAATGTTGAACTGATGAATTAAATCAATTCATTGTTCGTGAAATTATTCGAAATAACCCGCTCGCTTCGCCAGCCGTCACATCTGTTTCACATACTTCAAATTGGTTTTTCGTTGGCTTGTTTGTTCGACATTTGGATATTCTCAACGGAATAACATTCTCATTGAACAGACTTCATCAAGCGTTGAGAATACCACGTGAAATTGATGAAATGACTGATACAGATGGTATAATAAATAATAGATACCAAATAACCATAAATACTTGCTGTTTATGTCAGTAAACATTTTGAAGGATTTCCTCTAAAGATGAATTAATTTAAGTCATTTGAACGAATGCATCAGTAACATCTTTAATATCAGTCTATCATCCAATGCCCAACTGAAGCATTCTCAAGGCTTCTGAAACTGTCAAAATGTGAAAAATCATAATTCAAGACGCTCATATGAATATAGCTGATTTGAGAATGACGAATGAAAATAGCAATTCAAACAAATGGTGTATGTCAGCATCGTCATATTGTTACAATATCTTTGAGTTTAAGTTCGAACAAAAATATGAACGTCGAATCTGCTACCATCCATCATATTGTAATGGCTTTAGGAACTCGAGAGAGCAGCATTTCTTTCTCTTTTGAGACAGAAATAGTTTTGAGTAATGAATGCGTTAGCTGAATTCGATCATCATTGATCAATGCAACCAGAAAATTCGATCAATACTAAAGAAATGAACAAAATGGACGTTAGCGATTGTTCATATTTAAGGCTTTAATTGTAGCTTTAAGGCCTTAATGGTCAAATCTGGCATTAGTGCTCTTGCTATGAATAATCTACGAATGAATGCATCGAAAACACACACAAATGTCACATCACAAATTTCTATATTCGAAACCTATGTTTAGTAGTAATTCATTTTGCGCACACCCTGGACACTTGAATACTTCCGGTAC